CATAGCCCCAGGCATCCCCACCCCTGCTTCCCAAACAAGGCTCAAGGTGGACAAGCAGACCTGGGATGTTGGAAGTTGAGGCTTGTACCTTCAACACGGTATACGTGTTGACCCAGAAACTCCACTTTATGGATTCTGTTGCAAATAGAGGTTGATGGACACGGTGTTCCCTTCAACAGGGTGTGAGTGAGCTGCCCACGCTAGGTGATGGGTGCACCTGTGGCCTGGGATGGGTGCTGCTCACTGTTCTCCCAGACAGGGGTGCCCGTCACCCTTCTCTCCCGGGGACCTCCGTTTCCTCACGTTCTCGCCAGGGCTGCTGGTCCCCAGACCAGACACCTGCCAGTCTGAGGGTGACCAGTGCTGCCTCCATAGGGTTTCCTTTGCCAGAGTCCTTCCCCGGGAGCTCCTGCATCTCTGACTCCCCCCATGCCTGTCCCCCTCCCCTTGGACTTGCATGCATTTCGTCTCTGTCCCTGTGGAACCCAGTGACTTGGAGCATGGTTTGGACGAGAGGCATGGGAAACCTTTCTGTGGCCTTGCGTTGTCAGCAATGCTTTGGCCCTTTGGGGTGTGTCTTCCAGCTTTCTGCATTTCCCTGGTTTCTCTGTGGGTCACAGGAGGAGCCAGCCCTTTCCTGTCTGGGGTCAGGCTGAGGTGTCCCAGCAGGAACAGGGGTCTCCGCCCCGAGATTGTGTCCATATTTACCAAAGGGGGCTCTATGGTTCCATCTCATCTGTAATCCATCGGGGATTTCAACATCAAATAAGGGAAATTCTATGTCAAGTCAACCCAGAAAAGAAGGAGTCCCCTTTGAAAATAGGGGGGCAGACACAAAGGCCCATACTGTGTGATTCCACGTACAGGAAACATCCAGAACAGGTAAAGGAACAGAGAGAGGAAGCAGCTTAGGGGTTTCCAGGGAGGTCTTCTGGTTCGGGGACTCCTTTGGGGAGGCAGATATTCCACAGCCATGTTCTGTGGTGTGGTGGCCCAGCGTTGGGAATGTACTGATGCTCAGGACTTGTTCAACTGAAAACAATTCATTTTATTTAAAATGAATAATAAACAGCATATAGGACATGGAAAGAGAATAGAACAGTTAATACGAACCAGAGAGAAAGAACATAGGGGGAGGGGATGAAACAATCTGGCGGGGCATCGGGGTCGGGTGATGGAGCTAAGGGTAATGGTACAAGGAGCTCTCCCCGTGAGGATGTGGGCTCTGGATGTGGTTCTGGGAGCCCTGCAGGAGCAGGAGGAGGGGCAGGGCCAGATGCAAGAGCAGGGCCAGATGCAAGAGCAGGGCCAGGGGCAGGATCCACGGTAAGAGCTGGGTCAGGGGCAAGTACAGGAGCACAGGCAGGGCCAGGGGAAGGGGCAGCGGCCCTGGAAAGCAGGGGAAGGGGCATCGGCTCTGGCAGGGGCAGGAACAGGGACACAGGCAGGGGAAGGGGCATCGGCTCTGGCAGGGGCAGGGGCCGGAACAGGGACACTGGCAGGGGAAGGGGCATCGGCTCTGGCAGGGGCAGGGGCAGGAACAGGGACGCAGGCAGGGGAAGGGGCATTGGTTCTGGCAGGGGCAGGAACAGGGACACTGGCAGGGGAAGGGGCATTGGCTCTGGCAGGGGCAGGAACAGGGACACAGGCAGGGGAAGGGGCATCGGCTCTGGCAGGGGCAGGAACAGGGACACTGGCAGGGGAAGGGGCATCGGCTCTGGCAGGGGCAGGGGCAGGAACAGGGACGCAGGCAGGGGAACGGGCATCGGCTCTGGCAGGGGCAGGGGCAGGAACAGGGACGCAGGCAGGGGAAGGGGCATCGGCTTTGGCAGGGGCAGGAACAGGGACGCAGGCAGGGGAAGGGGCATCGGCTCTGGCAGGGGCAGGAACAGGGACGCAGGCAGGGCAAGGGGCATCGGCTCTGGCAGGGGCAGGGGCAGGAACAGGGACGCAGGCAGGGGAACGGGCATCAGCTCTGGCAGGGGCCGGAACAGGGACACAGGCAGAGGAAGGGACAGGTGCAGGGGCAGGGGGTGGGTCAGGGGCAGGAATGGGCGCACACGCAGGGGCAGGGAAACGGGTAGTGAAAGGGGAAGGAGCTGGGTCAGAGGCAAGGATAGGAGCACAGGGAGGGGCTGGGGAAGGGACAGTTGCAGGGGCAGAAGCTGAGTCAAGGGCAAGAACAGGAATACAGGCAGGGGCAGGAGAAGGGGCAGGATCCAGGGCAGGAGCTGGGTCCGGGGCAAGAACAGGAACACAGGTAGGGGAAGGGGCAGGTGCAGGGGCAGGAGGTGGGTCAAGGACAGGAACAAGACCACAGGCAGGGGCAGGGGCAGAACCCGGGTCAGGGGCAAGAATAGGAGCACAGGCAGGGGCAAGGGAAGGGGCAGGATCCAGGGCAGGAGCTGGGTCAGGGTCAGGATCCGGATCAGGGGCAAGAACAGGTGCACAGGTAAGGGAAGGGGCTGGTGCAGGGTCAGGAGCTGGGTCAGGGGCAAGAACAGGTGCACAGGCAGGTGCTGGGGAAGGGGCAGGTGCAGGGGCAGGAGGTGGGTCAGGAGAAGGGACATTGGCTCTAGCAGGGGCAGGGGAAGGGGCAGGAGTTGGGGCAGGGGCCGGAACAGGAGCACAAGCCGGGGAAAGGGAGGGGGCAGGTGCAAGGGGAGGGACAGGGTCTGCCGCATTGGCACGTACAGGACCCGGGGCAGTATCTGGGTCAGGGGCAAGAACCGGGGCACTGGCAGGGGTAGGGATGGGTCAGGATCCAGGGCAGGAGCTGGGTCGGGCGCAGGAGCAGGGCCACAGTTCGGGGCAGGCGCAGGGGCGGCGGCTCTGGCAGGAACAGGGGCAGGCCCAGGGGCAGGCTCTCCGGAGGCAGGTTGTCCAGCAGGCCCTTCCTGGCCCCCGTCAGGCTCTCCGTGGGCGGGTGCTGGGTCACCTGCCGGCTCCCGGTCTCCTGCTGAAGTCGCAGCCACCACCCCTCCGTCCAGAGCTGCCGGTGGAGTTGGAGCCGGCTCTAGCTCCTCAGGTGGTGGAGCAGCTGTGAGAGGAGAAAAGCTCACCCCGAGCCTGCTCTCCGTGGAGACAGAACCCAGCCCAGGGCCTCCCAGAGAAGCAGCAGCCAGGAAGGAGCCCTCCCCGGGGCGTCTCCCCGACCGCAGTCCACCCGCTGGGTGCTCTGAGCCCAGTCGGTGCTCCAGGCCCCACACCAGGCTCTGGGGGCTCCTCCCTGTGGGGCCAGCCCCCACCCTTCCACACACACCCACGGGCACCCAGCCCCGGGCTTCTCAGCCTCAGGCTCGGCCTCCGTGGGCTCTGGCTCCTGGAGCACAATGCAGTCAATGACCACCAGGGACAGTGGTCTGGGTGGTGTCGGAGGCCTCTCCCCGCAATCCCCAGCACCTGCTCCAGGGGAGTCCTGTGGGGTCACGCTCCGGATCCCGGACATGGAGTGGGTGTCCGCCAGCCTCGTGCCGATCTCATCGGAGGTCTGCAAAGACAGGGACGGGTAGCCGGCCCGGAGGCATCCCAGTCCTGCCCGGCCAACCTCCCTGTCCCCTGCCCAGTCGCCCTGCTGCTCCCAGATCAGACACACACCTGTGGGTGTACAGCCGTGCACGCGGGACAATGACCCATCCCTGCAGGGCGATCGAGACAAACCCTGGGCAGAAGCTCACAGCCCCCCACACCCCATCCCACCCAGCCAGCCTGGACCTTGAACATGACCTGCCCATGGGTTATCTGACCCCTCATCAGCCTGCTCTTGAATGGCGTTGGCCCACCCCACATGACCCCTCTTCACACATACACACACACACACACACACACACACACGCACGGAGGGGAGGGGACCTGGGGCTGCACAGGTGGATTAGACCCTGTGGGGCTGGGTGGCCGGCTCTGGGCCTCCTGGTGTCACCTTTCGGGCCTTCTGGCCAAACGGCCAGAGGCGGTGGGGAGCCCTGATCGGACATCCCCAGCGGGGGCCAGCGTTTTCAGGGCGGGCTTTCTTCAGCCTGCAGCATCCAGACTTAGGGAGGCAACAAGCCCACATGTTCATGGTTGGATGATCTCCAATGAAATGAGCTGGGCAGGGGGCTGTCTCTGGAATGTGGGTGCCTGGTTACCTGGGTTCCAAATTCTGTTGGACTCTGTTGTCAGGGAAGTGAGGTCATCACTGCCTGGGGTCCCCTTACCCAACTTCCTCCTCACACAAGACCCCCACCCCCGAGGGCCCCCTCCCCCCATGCCCCATCCATACAGTGACTCCCTCACAGCCCACCCACAGCCTTCCCAAGGCCTGGGTGCAGCCGGTGTCCCCGCTGTGAGGACACAGAGCTGGCTTCAGACTGGGCTCCTGTGCATGCCCAGGGCTGTGACCCTGGACAGACCCTGTGCCTCTCAGGGCCTCCCCAGGCTCCCCATCTGCACAGTGGGGTGTTCTGGCTTCTACTCCTAGGGACGCCATCAGGGGTAGGACCTCTACATACATTCCGTACTTGCTATCACAGGAGGCTGGGGCACACTTGGCAATGCAAGGATGAGCCAGGGGCTGGGCGGGACATGGAGCACAGCTCAGAGGGGCCTGGGTCTGCTCTGGGGTCTGGGCAAAGCCACCCCCTTCTTGCCTGTTCCCAGCCCCTGTGGGAAGGTTGCAATGAACGGATTCCGACCTTGTCCCCTGGTGACGCACACTTCCAGGGGCTCCCATTAGGTTTAGGCTCAGGCCCCGGGGCCTCGTCTGCGCCCATGTGCTGGGCAGTCCCCACAGTGGTTCCCGGGCATTCCCACATCTTGCTCACACATCCCTGTGGAATCCCCTCCCCTCCGGGGTGGATGGCCTGTGTGACCGCGCTCTCAGGAAGAGAATGGGGCAAAATGCTGGGATGTCATTTCCAAGCTGATGGAGGAAAGTCTGTGACTTCTTCTGGTTCCCTCTGTCGTGTGTTCATTCTCTGTCTCCTTATCTCTTTCTGTCTCTGTCTCTGTGTCTCTCACAGGAGCAGGATCTGTGGACTCCAGGGGTGATGTGAGAAACCTCAGAAGCTTCCCTTGTCCGTGTTTCCCTCGTCTGTCCCGGTGCTCCATTCCTTCCTAAGGCCTTGTCACCCGGACCAGAGCAGTGAATCTGGAACCTCTTCCAAATGGAGACCCGGAGGCTGCAACAAGGAGGGTCTTGGCCTTGGTCCCCAGACTAGTGGTCAGTGCTCTGCCATGTTCTGCGTACCCAGGTCCTCAGCCCCCCAAGTCCCCAGTTTGTCCCCTGCTCAGAAGGACCTCGAGGGAGTACAAAGCATTTTCCCAGGACTGGGAGCACAGTGGGTCGGGGATGGAGATCCAAGGCCAATAGGCTCTTCCACAAGCCTGTGGGACCCTAGGGACACTGCATCTCTAAGCCCAAGTGACAGAAGAGTAAGCTGAGGCCTTTGTGCTGTAGCCCCTCTGGACTTGGGGGTGGGTATCTCTTCCTGCTTCCAAGTGCCCAGGCTGGTGATGGACACCGGAACCCAGACCCTGTCCTCTCCCAGTGCCCTGGCAACCCTTCGGGGTCCCTTGGGGACCCCTGACCCTCAGCCTGGCCTGTCTCCCCTCCCCATGCTATGGATCTGGGTCCTTGCCAGGAGTCCTGATGCCCTGCCCCATGGCCCAGCTGTCTGCAACCTGTTTCTTCTTTCCCCCCTGTCACCCACCTCGCTCCCAGGGTGTCCTCCCCTTCTGACCCCCAGCTGGGCAGTCAGAGTGGTGTGTGTGTGGGTGTGGGTGTGTGTGGGGGGGTGTGTGTGCAGCTGCACGTGCCTCTACGTGCCTGGGGATGCCAAGGTCATGTCCCCACATGAAACGGGGTGGGTAGCTCTTCCCGAGGATCTGAGTGGCTCTCACCCCCAAAGCAAACCTCATGGGAGGGTTGGGACTGGCCTAGGACTGGAGAGCAGCTCCTTGGACTCTGCACCCCTCAGTTGTCCTGGGCCAGTCCCTGCCTCTCTTGACCCAGGTTCCCAACTGTCCCTGAGGGTCGGACATGGAAAGGCTTGAACGTGGCTGCTCCTCCAGGGGTAGGTGGGGGACAGGTGCACCAGGCACGCAGGCCTCCCCACCGAGAGGGCCAGCCAGGTGTGTCATGGCCAGGTGTGCACAGACGACCTGCCCACAGCTCCTGTACCATGACCCAGCCCTGCGGCAGATGTGCACGAGACCCATGGCTCCGCACCTGACCGGTCCCCCGCATTCCCTCACCACCTCGGAGACAAGGGCTCTTCTTCGTCCTAGGGCCCGTCATCCTTTGGACAATGAGAGCAGAGGGATCCGTATCTAGAGGAGGCCGGCAGGGCGTCCCACGGAGTGTCGTGTGCCCATCTCTGCTTTGTCGTCTAGGCTTAGCGGCGGACCCCCACCTAGAAAGAGGCCCACGGGGCAGGGACATTTGTCTGCCTTGTTCCCTGAATTATGGAAAATGTCTAGAAGGGGCTTCCTGTCCATGTGTGGAGTCGATGAAGCCCAGCCAGCACCTTTCAGATGTCTGAGTGGCTCTGGGGCCCCTCTGCCAGCCCCCAGGGATCCCTGCTCTGGCTCCACCCAGGATGGGAGCCCCAGATGGAATCTGAAACCTCCTCACAGCCAGGAATGCGGCTTTGCCCAGGACACAGGACACCGAGGCTTGGGGCAGAGAGCTCCTTCACGGTGGAGAGGAACCGCCTCAGCCCCAGGCCACCCTCCCCGTGGGCCGGCCACAGGGTCGGGGAGCGGTCCCAACAGGCCCGACGGCAACCCCGTGTGTGGGGCCTGGCCTCGTGGCACGCAGGGTCCCCAGGAGACACCTGAGGTTCGGAGAGGGGACGTGTCAGGCCCGAGACACACAGCCCGCAGGTGAGGGGGAGCCTCCGGGCGGGACGGGGGGCCCTGCTCACCTTGGTGAGCAGCAGGTGTGGGAAGGGCTGGGGAGGCGTTCCTCTGGGAGGTGCTCCGGGAGAGGGGCCACAGGAGAGGGCCTGGCCCGGCTCCACCAGCTTCCTCAGGCTGTCAGCACGGACCGCCCACAGCCTCTGGCTCGCCCCCAGCGGCAGGGCCCACTCAGGTTCACGGTGGGGCTGATCTTTGGATAAAGGAGGGACAATTCACAACACACAAACTGCAAAACTATTCCTGTCCGTGTCCTGAAGTGCAACAGAATATCCAAATTGGTTGAGATCATCTTCCACGTATGTGAAGGGTGATTTTGTACCTGGCCAAGGCTGGGGCTGGACCGGGTGTGTGTGTCTGTGTGTGAAGGACCAGGTGTGTGTGTGTGTGTGTGTTTGAAGGACTGGGTGTGTGTGTGTGTTTGGCGTGTGTGTCTGTGTGTGTGGGTCTGTGAAGGGAGCAGCCCAGACCCCTTGGGTTGAGATCATGGCCACGTAAGGGGCACAGCCGTCGTGGCACCCCGGGTCGTCAGTGTCCCAGATGGCGTCGGGGCAGGAGACCCTCCCGGCCCTCCCCGAGCCCGGTCCTGGAGCGCCCTCGTCCCCACACTCCCCCTGAGCCCGCACCAGCCCTTACCGACTGCCTGGTGCACGTGCCCCACGCCGGGGAGCCGTCGAGTGAGGCTCCTGTTGACCAGCTTGTCCCCAATTTCTTCCATGGGGCTCTGCGAAGACAGTGAGCGGCGCCCGGCCCGGAGGCATCACAGCCCTGCCCAGCCGTCCTCACCGTCCTCCTGCCCAGCCCCACTGCTGCCCCCAGATCAGACACAGCCCCGTGCGGGCACAGCCCTGCGCCCGGGGTGCAGTGACATGTATCGACAGGGCTCCAGATCAACCCTGGGGAGAAGGAGGCCGCCCCAGCACACCCCGTCCCACCCAGCCAGCCTTGACCCGGGGTGTCAACATGATCCACCCACCAGGCATCTGGCCCCTCATCACCCTGCTCCTGCTCAGGGTGGGCTACCCTGCCTGAGACCTCTGCACACACACACACACACACACACAGGAGGGATGCTGGGCTGCACGGTCGGATCACAGCAGTGTCTGGCTGGCCTGGCTGGCTCTGGGCCTCCCTGTGTTCCCTTTGGGCCCCTCCAGGCAAATGGCCAGAGGTGTCAGGGGTGGGACCTGACCCCAGGTCTGCAGTGTAGGCAACGGCTCTCACTGTCGGCTTTGCTGAGACCACATCCTGGGGACATCGGGATACAGCAGGATTGCAGCATCTCCAGCCAAGTGAACTGAGTAGGAAGGGGGCTGTCTCTAGAATGTGGGTGCCTGTGACAGCCCTTGGGCATCTTGGGGACGCCCTGGCCATCAGCCTGGCATGTCTCCCCTGAGCCCCATGCTACGGCCCCGGGCATGTTCCCAGGAGACAATGCCCACAGCCCACGGCCCAGCTGCCTCCAACCTCCTCCTTCTTTCCCCCTTGTCCCCTCCAGGGTCCACGCCCCCTTGGACGCCCCTGGGGAGTTTGTGTGTGTGTGTGTGTGCGCGCGCGCGCACGCAGAGCCTTGTGTGTACGTGTGCCCGCGCGAGGGTGACCAGAGGAAAGGGCCCCACATGGGAGTGTGGGCAGGGGTCCCCCGGATCATAGGGGTCCTCGTTCCCAAAGGAAACCCCATGCGAGGTGAAGCTTGGCCTCGGAAGCTGGAACCCTCCCTGTTCCTCTAGCCTCTGCTCAGCTGGTGGGTCCCAGGCCAGTCCCTGCCTCTCCTGCCCTCAGTTTGCCGACTGTCCCATGAGGGCTTGGAGGAGGAACTTCATTAGCGTGGCTCGGCGTGGCCGGTTGGCTCCCACCTTTTGGGTGGACGTGGCGCAGGTGCACTCTGGGTGGGTGGGGCCCTCCCACCAATGGTGGGTCGGAGGCAGGTGGATCCTGCGCAGGCGCACACGGCCCAGCAGACGGCGCCTGCGTGGGACCCAACCTGCCAGCAGGCCTGCGCAACCCCGAGGGGCTGGCTGTGGCCTTGGTCCTCCGTGTCCCGATCTCCACTGCCTGCTCAGTGACCCTCATGTCCTCTTAGGCCGGGGGCCAGCCCCAGTCCCGCCAGGCAGGGCCGTTGGACTGAGTGGACATGGAGACCTGGGGACTAGAGAGAAATGAAATATACCCCCGCTGCCGTCCTGGCCCCCACGTTCCACTTCAGTGTTCATCTCAGTGCATGGCGGGGGGGTCAGGGGAGGGTGATGGGGACACGTGTGGGCAGGGAGGAGGTCAGGCCGCCTTTGCCTCCTCTACATCCCCTCCCCCTGTCTTCCTGGCAGCAGCCCCTCTCCCCAAAATCCGGCACTCAAACACCTTCATCTCCCTGCTTTAAACCCCAACCCATCCTCCTGAGGTGAGAGTCACTGACCCCATCTCCAAAGTAGAAAACTGAGGTCCCAGGAGTTCCCACAGGAGCTTGCCAGTCACAGGGCTGTGACATGGCCCTGCTGTGGGTTTGAACCCAGCTCAATCTGACCCAAAGCCTGAGCTTACAGAGGAGCCGGAGGAAGTAGCCTTTGAGCCCAGGCTTGGAGGTGAGGCCACCCTGGATGGGGGTCATAGGGAGGGACGGCAGGGGTTCTGAGGGGCAAATTCTTGCCGGGCTCCCTGGGGGACGAAGGCCCTACAGAGGCTGGAGTGGGCTGAGGGGTGCACACTGGGGAGCATGTCTAGACCAGATCACGCAGGGCTCTCTGGATATTGGGCAAGGAGTCAGGGGACACTGCGGGTTGGGGGGTTCAGGGGACACAATCCGGGCAGTCTTACCAGAGCCACAGCATCGTAGATTTAGAAGGAGCTTGGTGGGCATGTTATTGTCCCCACCCAAGCATGGGGATCACCAAGCAAGCACCAGCCAGAGGTGAGGAGGCTGCCGCAGTTTCCTCCTGTGTAGAGTGGGGCCGTGGTGGTCGTCTGCGTCCTTCCAGGCCTGGGCATGCTGCCTGGAAGGTCCAGAGGTGGCTTCGTCAGAGTAGCTAGCTGTTTCAGTGAGGTCAGTACTCAGAGACGTCTGAGTCAGGAGACCAAAGGGACGCCCCACGTGCCCAGTTCAGCAGGATGCTCTTGTACATGGTGCCGATCTTCATGTCCAGGCTGATGGGGTTGAGGCAGCAGCGCCCACCTGCTGCATGGAGAGCAGCAGCGAGGAGCCGTGGTTGCAGACCCCGAGACACGGCGCTCGTGTGAGTCCGAGGCTGCCACAGATGTGATGGAGGCTGAGGAGGGGGAGGTGCTGACAGAGGCTGAGATGATGCCTGAGGTCTGCAGCGACGACTGGGAGGTCAACTCCGGAACTTGAGGAACGGCAAGGCCAGCAGAAACACCAGACTGTGTAAGGCAACCCCGGTCAGCATCTAGCCCAGAAGCTTCTAGAGACTGAGTCTTCTTGGCCCCTTGTGGCTGTGGAGTGGGGATCCAGGCTCCAGGAAGGGATGTCTGTCAGGGAGAAAGGGTGGGACAGTCACCTCCTTTTCCTGGCCATCAGGGATCCTGGGACAAAACCCACACTAATGTCCTCCACATCTACATCGGGCTGGAGGAGCATGCAGAGCGGGTAGGCGATGTCCCTGCTGCGCAGGTAGGGGCTGCATCTGAGCTGGTCCCAGGACTTGGAGTGAGCGCTCCTTTTGGTCTTGGGTGTTGTGTTGGGGGTGCGGTGGCAGAATTGAAGGGCTGACTTTGCATTGATCCGACACCCTGGGTGAATGGGTGCTCTAGGGTGTCCGTGGGCACAGGTGGCTGTGACCCACACATGGGAAGGTGTGAAGGAAGCACACAGAAGACAGTGCCCTGAGCTATGCAGGTTTTCTGCTCATGGGCAGTGCTCCTTGGCAAAATTCAGCTAGTCTGCTTGTTCCTAGAGCACAGAAGGCCCCTAAGGTCGTGAGTGGTTCATGGGAAGTCAGGTCAGTCTGTTGCTGGGCATCATGCCTGGCAGGAGGAGAGCTTCAGCCTGAAATGACGGTCTGGGGGTGACCTGGAATGCCAGGTGAGGTAGAAATTGCCCAGGTAGCCTGATCCACTCCAGTCTGTATTGCTTCTCTACCCAACAACCCAGACCTAGACAATGGCCCTCTGGCTGGCTGGCATCTGGAACAGTTAGAATGTTCCTCTGGTTCAGTCGAAGGAGAAGATCAAAGTTAGTAGAGCAAAGGAAACTATGAAGATTAGGGCAGAGATAAATGGAAGAGAAGAGCATGTGAGAAAAATCAGTGAAAACAACAGTTCTTTCTTTTGCAGATTTACCAAAATTGACAAAGAGACAAAAATGGAACCACTTTATACCAACCAATTGGCTCCCTGAGATGAAGCAGATCATTCTGAGAAGCACACAAACTACCAAAGTGACTCCAGAAGAAATGGAAACCCTGAGCAGACCTCTAATAAGTAAATAGACTGAAGCAGTCATGAGAACTTCCCAAGAATGAAAAGTCCAGAACCTGATGCTTTCCCTGGTGATTTGGCCCACACGTTTAAAGAAGACATAATACCAATCCTTCTGAAAGTCTGAAAAAAGTACAAGAGGAGGGAACACTTCCCACATCACCCTAGAATGCCAGCATTGTCCCGATTCCAAAGACTGACAAAGACCTTACAAGAAAAGACAGTTGCAGGCCAAAATCCATTATGAAGAGCGAGGCAAAAATCCTCAACAGAATTCTAGCGACAGAATCTAGCAGCACATTGACAGGACTCTACATCATGACCAAGTGTGATTTACACCGGGAATGCAAAGGCTGTTCAACGTAGCTAATCAGTGTCCTAGACCACATCCAGAAGAAACATGATCATGTCAATTGTTGTAGGATAAGCTTTGACAAAATCCAAACCTTTTCATAACAAGTATTCTCAATAAAATAGAAATAGAAGATTCAGTTGTGATAAAGGAAAGGTCCCTGGGTGGCTCAGTGGGTTGAGTGTTCGACTCTTGGTTTGGGCTCAGGTCATGATCTCAAGAGTCTTCAGATTGAGCTCCAGGGAGGGCTCTGCACTCAGTCGGGAGTCTGCTTGGAGATTCTCTCCCTCTGCCCCTCCCCACTCTTGGGTTTGCATGCTCTCAAATAAATAAATAAATAAATAAATAATTCTTTAAAAATTATGATAAAGGATATTTATGAAAAATAACTCATATGTATATCATTCTCTGTGGTGAAAGACTGGGAGTTTTCTCCTTAAAATCCCCAAAAAGTCAAGGATGCCCATGTCCACCACTTCATTTCAATATTGTCATGGAAGTTTGGTCAGAGAAATTATACAAGATTAGTTACTAAAAGCTCACAAATGGAAAGGAAGAAGAAAAAGGTTATTTATATATGACATGATCTTCTATGCAAATAATCCTAAGAATTTGAAAAACTCTGTATGAGATTATAATATTTCCCGAAAGGTATGAGCAGAGAAGGCCAACACATATGGATCAATGGAATACTGCTGAGAATCAAGGAATACATACATGTACAGTCAGTTGTTTTCGAACACGGAGAGCAAGATCATTCAATGAGGCAAAAACAGTGTCTCCAACAAACGGTGTTGAGAAACCGGATATCCACATACGAAGGAGTGAAGTCAGAGCATTCCCTTCCACCCTATAAAAAATGAACTCCACATGGATCCAAGAATGAACTTTAAGAGCGAAAATTCTTAACACTCAGAAGGAAACTAAGAGCACTTAGGGGCAGATCTTCCTTCCCTTGGATTTGGCAATATGGTGTCTCTTGTATGGCACCCGAAGCCCAAGCAACAACAGAGAAAACAGAGACACTGGACTTTAACGTTGCTAAAAACTTTTGTGAACAAAAGGGTAATCTCAAGAGAATGTAAAGAAACCCAAAGAATGGTAGGAAATATTTGCAAATCTCATACGAGTCTTGCATCTAGAATGTGTACAAAACTCCTCCAACTTAAGAACCTAAACAACCCCACTGAAAATAATAGACATTTCTCCAAAGAAGATAGTCAGACGACCCAGTGAGCACATGGGGCGATTTTCCTCATGAGATCGTAGGAAATGCAAGCCAACACCACAGTGACATGCCTTCCCCCACCCAGGAGGAGGGGCTATAGTGAATAAGCAGAAATAACAAGTGTTGGAGAGGATCTGGGGAAACAGAACCCTCCTCCATTGCTGGGGGAGATGTAATATGGCGGAACCACTGTGGCAAAGGGTGTGGCACGTCGTCCACACGTTGAGCATACTGTTCTCATTTGGCCGAACTCCACTCATTCTCTAAACAGAAGAATGGAATACAGGCCCTCTAACAACAGCCTGCACGGAAGTATTCGTAGCAACACTCTCGACAATAATCGAAAGATGAAAACAACCCACAGGTGCATCCACAGTTGAATGGACAAACACAACGTGGTCTGTTCATACAATGGGATTCATTCAGCCACGCCAGGAATGAAGTAGTGATACACGCTATCACGTGGGTGAACTTCGAAAACATCCTACTCAGTGGAAGAAACTAGACCCCAAATACCACATACGGTTTGATCCCACGTGTATGAAAAATTCGTCCCAGGTAAATGACAGGTGCCAGATCAGTGGTTGCCTGGGAGCAGGGGGATGGGGAATGACCAGTGACTGCCTGCTCAGAGGGTGCGGGGTTTCTCTCCAGGGCATTAAATGTTCTGGGATTAGATAGGGTGATGTTGCCAGCACGGGAAATGGAGTTGATAACAGTGGTTTGCACACTTTGAAATGTTTAAAAAGATAAAGTTTATTTTATGTTAAGCTACAAATATACCTGGAAACATGAAAAGAAACAAAAGCCAAAAGAGAAGAAAAGGAATGCGTTCGCTGGTGAGGACAGGCCGACTCTGGTGCTGGAACTGGCCCTGGTTGTAGCTCATCAGCTGCTCCGGGAGGTGGGGCCGGAGCTGGCTGTAACTGGTGCTGGATTGGGTCTCGCTCCCACTGGCCCTAGCTCTGCAGGGGGAGCCAGCGCTGGCTCCAGGTCGGAGGTGCCGCCGGAGCTGACTGTGGAGCCGATCCAGCTCAGAGTCTTGCCTTGGCTCTAGCTCTGCAGTCGGTGATGGAGCCGTAGGTCCAGGGGCTTCCTCCCACTGGGGCGCACGTGGCTCCAGCTCCTGAGCTCCTGGCGAAGGCCCCGCACCAGGAGATGGAAATGCCTCGAGCTCTGCAGCGGGCTTTGGGTCTGTAGCTGCTTCTGCAGCCACGTCGACTCTGCAGCGGTGACCGGCCCCGGGGCAGAGGCCAGTTCTCCATCTCGAGATGGTGCCGAAGCAGCAGGAGGGGAGAAGGTCACCACCCTGCCAGGGTGATCACCCTGTGCTGATCCCCACAGCCCGTCCCTGTGCCTTGTCAGAGGAAACCGGCCTCCCCCAGCAGCGCTGAGCTGCCTCGAGACCTGGCTCTCGTTCTCGGGCTGCCTCTCACTCTGCCAGTGGTGCCGGATCGGGTGGGAGAACTGGTGTGGAGGTGGCTCTGCTCTGGAATTCACCCCGGAGCTGCTTTTGCCTCCGGAGGGGGACAGCGTGTCGGAGCTGGAGGGGCTCTAGTCTGCGGGGCCCTGGCTCAGGCTCTCGAGCTACTTCCACGGCTGGCTCGAGTCAGCGCTGGGGCACATTCTGGTGCGTCAGATGGTTCTAGATCTTAGCTGCCCCACGGCTCGTGCAAGGTCTCGTGCTCGAGGTGCTCTAGCTCTGTACCGCCCACTTGCTGACCGTGGGTGAGATGCTGACCCACCGGTTAGGCTGGGAGCTCCGAGGGCAGGGAGGGTGTCTGGGGGTCCCCTCTGCATTCCAGCGAACAGACACAGGTGTGGATGATGCACGCGTGGAAGAAAGCGTGAACACAAGAGTCTGTGGCCCAGACCTCTCATCTGTAACAACATCCCCCGCATCCCGGGTCTGCTGGGGGATCCCACCGATTCACTAAACTGTGAAGTACTACCACTTCCCAGGCACTGTTCTGGGGGTTGGGGACCCAGCGGTGAGGAAGCACGGTCCCTGGTCGCGTGGGGCTGGCCGGAGCAGAGGTCAAACGAGGACTTCAGGTCCCCGGCAAGTGTCTCTGCTCAGCTGGGGGCAGCTGCCGGGAGCAGCGGGTCAGGCCCTTGTCCCCGTCTGGCAGCTCAGGACCGACCCGCGTGGGGCGCGTGGTGAAGGCGATGCAGGATCCTTGGTCTGAATCCCCCCGTAGCCATTACCCCCATGTAGCCGGTCCCGTCACCATCCCGAGTTTTGCATCCATGAAGTGGGCAGGGGAGGAAAGCCGTTCGTGGGTTCAAGAGCCCTATCCAAGTGCGGAACTGGGTCTAGATCATCTCTGGAGGGGGATTCAGCTCCAGCACCTGCCCCAGAGCTCGAGCCAGGTCCTACACCGATGCGTGCCGCAGCTCCCGAGACTGGGGCAGCTGCAGCTTCGGCTCTCGCGCCAGCTCTGGGATCAGAGCCCAGTTTGGAGCTTGAGCAGCTCCAGCACCAGCTATGGAACTCGCCAGCCAAGGGCCAGCACCTTCACCGTCACACCCTCGCCGTCGTGCACGAGGTCAGGAGAGGGGCTGGGGGCGGGAGGGTCCCTGCTGGGCAGGTCACCCCGGGTACCTTGGTCACTCTACTCAGAGCTCCCCCTCCCCACCCCTCCCACAGGTCACAGCCCCAGGGTTCCCCACCCCTGCTTCCCAAACAAGGCTCAAGGTGGACAAGCAGACCTGGGATGTTGGAAGTTGAGGCTTGTATCTTCAACACTGTATACGTGTTGACCCAGAAACTCCACTTTATGGATTCTGTTGCAAATAGAGGTTGATGGACACGGTGTTCCCTTCCTTCAACAGGGTGGGAGTGAGCTGCCCACGCTAGGTGATGGGTGCACCTGTGGCCTGGGATGGGTGCTGCTCACTGTTCTCCCAGACAGGGGTGCCCGTCACCCTTCTCTCCCGGGGACCTCCGTTTCCTCACGTTCTCGCCAGGGCTGCTGGTCCCCAGACCAGATACCTGCCAGTCTGAGGGTGACCAGTGCTGCCTCCATAGGGTTTCCTTTGCCAGAGTCCTTCCCCGGGAGCTCCTGCATCTCTGACTCCCCCCATGCCTGTCCCCCTCCCCTTGGACTTGCATGCATTTCGTCTCTGTCCCTGTGGAACCCAGTGACTTGGAGCATGGTTTGGACCAGAGGCATGGGAAACCTTTCTGTGGCCTTGGGTTGTCAGCAATGCTTTGGCCCTTTGGGGTGTGTCTTCCAGCTTTCTGCATTTCCCTGGTTTCTCTGTGGGTCACAGGAGGAGCCAGCCCTTTCCTGTCTGGGGTCAGGCTGAGGTGTCCCAGCAGGAACAGGGGTCTCCGCCCCGAGATTGTGTCCATATTTACCAAAGGGGGCTCTATGGTTCCATCTCATCTGTAATCCATCGGGGATTTCAACATCAAATAAGGGAAATTCTATGTCAAGTCAACCCAGAAAAGAAGGAGTCCCCTTTGAAAATAGGGGGGCAGACACAAAGGCCCATACTGTGTGATTCCACGTACAGGAAACATCCAGAACAGGTAAAGGAACAGAGAGAGGAAGCAGCTTAGGGGTTTCCAGGGAGGCCTTCTGGTTCGGGGACTCCTTTGGGGAAGCAGATATTTCACAGCCATGTTCTGTGGTGTGGTGGCCCGGCGTTGGGAATGTACTTGATGCTCAGGACTTGTTCAACTGAAAACAATTCATTTTATTTAAAATGAATAATAAACAGCATATAGGACATGGAAAGAGAATAGAACAGTTAATACGAACCAGAGAGAAAGAACATAGGGGGAGGGGATGAAACAATCTGGCGGGGCATCGGGGTCGGGTGATGGAGCTAAGGGTAATGGTACAAGGAGCTCTCCCCATGAGGATGTGGGCTCTGGATGTGGTTCTGGGAGCCCTGCAGGAGCAGGAGGAGGGGCAGGGCCAGATGCAAGAGCAGGGCCAGATGCAAGAGCAGGGCCAGGGGTAGGATCCACGGTAAGAGCTGGGTCAGGGGCAAGTACAGGAGCACAGGCAGGGCCAGGGGAAGGGGCAGCGGCCCTGGAAAGCAGGGGAAGGGGCATCGGCTCTGGCAGGGGCAGGGGCAGGAACAGGGACACCGGCAGGGGAAGGGGCATTGGCTCTGGCAGGGTCAGGGGCAGGAACAGGGACACTGGCAGGGGAAGGGGCATTGGCTCTGGCAGGGGCCGGAACAGGGACACTGGCAGGGGAAGGGGCATCGGCTCTGGCAGGGGCAGGGGCAGGAACAGGGACGCAGGCAGGGGAAGGGGCATCGGCTCTGGCAGGGGCAGGAACGGGGACGCAGGCAGGGCAAGGGGCATCGGCTCTGGCAGGGGCAGGGGCAGGAACAGGGACGCAGGCAGGGGAAGGGGCATCGGCTCTGGCAGGGGCAGCAACGGGGATGCAGGCAGGGGAAGGGGCATCGGCTCTGGCAGGGGCAGGGGCAGGAATAGGGACGCAGGCAGGGGAAGGGGCATCGGCTCTGGCAGGGGCAGGAACAGGGACGCAGGCAGGGCAAAGGGCATCGGCTCTGGCAGGGGCAGGAACAGGGATGCAGGCAGGGGAATGGGCATCAGCTCTGGCAGGGGCCGGAACAGGGACACAGGCAGAGGAAGGGACAGGTGCAGGGGCAGGGGGTGGGTCAGGGGCAGGAATGGGCGCACACGCAGGGGCAGGGAAACGGGTAGTGAAAGGGGAAGGAGCTGGGTCAGAGGCAAGGATAGGAGCACAGGGAGGGGCTGGGGAAGGGACAGTTGCAGGGGCAGAAGCCGAGTCAAGGGCAAGAACAGGAATACAGGCAGGGGCAGGAGAAGGGGCAGGATCCAGGGCAGGAGCTGGGTCCGGGGCAAGAACAGGAACACAGGTAGGGGAAGGGGCAGGTGCAGGGGCAGGAGGTGGGTCAGGGACAGGAACAGGACCACAGGCAGGGGCAGGGGCAGGGGCAGAACCCGGGTCAGGGGCAAGAATAGGAGCACAGGCAGGGGCAAGGGAAGGGGCAGGATCCAGGGCAGGAGCTGGGTCAGGGTCAGGATCCGGATCAGGGGCAAGAACAGGTGCACAGGTAAGGGAAGGGGCTGGTGCAGGGTCAGGAGCTGGGTCAGGGGCAAGAACAGGTGCACAGGCAGGTGCTGGGGAAGGGGCAGGTGCAGGGGCAGGAGGTGGGTCAGGAGAAGGGACATTGGCTCTAGCAGGGGCAGGGGAAGGGGCAGGGGAAGGGGCAGGAGTTGGGGCAGGGGCCGGAACAGGAGCACAAGCCGGGGAAGGGGAGGGGGCAGGTGCAAGGGGAGGGACAGGGTCTGCCGCATTGGCACGTACAGGAACCGGGGCAGTATCTGGGTCAGGGGCAAGAACCGGGGCACTGGCAGGGGTAGGGATGGGTCAGGATCCAGGGCAGGAGCTGGGTCGGGTGCAGGAGCAGGGCCACAGTTCGGGGCAGGCGCAGGGGCGGCGGCTCTGGCAGGAACAGGGGCAGGCCCAGGGGCAGGCTCTCCGGAGGCAGGTTGTCCAGCAGGCCCTTCCTGGCCCCCGTCAGGCTCTCCGTGGGCGGGTGCTGGGTCACCTGCCGGCTCCTGGTCTCCTGCTGAAGTCGCAGCCACCACCCCTCCGTCCAGAGCTGCCGGTGGAGTTGGAGCCGGCTCTAGCTCCTCAGGTGGTGGAGCAGCTGTGAGAGGAGAAAAGCTCACCCCGAGCCTGCTCTCCGTGGAGACAGAACCCAGCCCAGGGCCTCCCAGAGAAGCCGCAGCCAGGAAGGAGCCCTCCCCGGGGCGTCTCCCCGACCGCAGTCCACCCGCTGGGCGCTCTGAGCCCAGTCATTGCTCCAGGCCCCACACCAGGCTCTGGGGGCTCCTCCCTGTGGGGCCAGTCCCCACCCTTCCGCACACACGCACGGGCACCCAGCCCCGGGCTTCTCAGCCTCAGGCTCGGCCTCCGTGGGCTCTGGCTCCTGGAGCACAATGCAGTCAATGACCACCAGGGACAGTGGTCTGGGTGGTGTCGGAGGCCTCTCCCCGCAATCCCCAGCACCTGCTCCAGGGGAGTCCTGTGGGGTCACGCTCCGGATCCCGGACATGGAGTGGGTGTCCGCCAGCCTCGTGCCGATCTCATCGGAGGTCTGCAAAGACAGGGACGGGTAGCCGGCCCGGAGGCATCCCAGTCCTACCCGGCCAACCTCCCTGTCCCCTGCCCAGTAGCCCTGCTGCTCCCAGATCAGACACACACCTGTGGGTGCACAGCCCTGCTCGCGGGACAATGACCCATCCCTGCAGGGCAATCGAGATAAACCCTGGGCAGAAGCTCACAGCCCCCCACACCCCGTCCCACCCAGCCAGCCTGGACCTTGAACATGACCTGCCCACGGGTTATCTGACCCCTCAGCCTGCTCTTGAATGGCGTTGGCCCACCCCACATGACCCCTCTTCACACACACACACACACACACACACACACACACGGAGGGGAGGGGACCTGGGGCTGCACAGGTGGATTAGACCCTGTGGGGCTGGGTGGCCGGCTCTGGGCCTGCTGGTGTCACCTTTCGGGCCTTCCGGCCAAACAGCCAGAGGCGGTGGGGAGCCCTGATCGGACATCCCCAGCGGGGGCCAGCGTTTGCAGGGCGGGCTTTCTTCAGCCTGCAGCATCCAGACTTAGGGAGG